CGTCTTTTTGGGACATTCGGCTTATTTTTAAACAAGAATGCATCACACCGACTTATTTTTGTATTTTTGGGCTATTTTTTGCAAAAGGCGAGGTTGGACCCAATGAGGTTTCCTACGTATCTCACATCCCGGTGAGAATCAAACCAGCGTAGTTCGCGCAGATTTGTCAAAACCAAATAGTATTTGGAAAAAAAATAAACTTTTTCTTTTCTTCAAAAATCCGGCAGAAGTTCGGTACTACTTGATATTGTTTTTCAACACAGTGTGTTACTCTCACTTAGTCCTAACACTGTTATTTTCCGTTCAATTCTCTCCCTATAGTACAAGCCGAGTCACTGCAAAGCCAGCAAAAAATGCACAAGTAGCACGTAAGATGAATCAGGAATGGTCTTTTCATTTTCAGGTCACCTGTCCTAGACGACCCAACCCCTGTGTGAGTCCCCTAAAATCAAATGCACATGAATGCAAACAAACGTTTCCTACTAGGGATCTGACATGAGGCTTTGTTTATACTAGGTTTAAGCCCTGGTTTATTGTTCTAGACCTGGCTTACCCGAGCGGACAACTCGAGCCGAGGGGGGTAGCGTACCGGGGATACAGAGAGCTCCGCCGGCTTAGCAACTTATCCAAACCTCGTTCTAAATGGGATAAGACTCTAAACAGAAGAGAAGTTCACACGAAGTGCACCCTTTTCCATGATGTAGAAGACTCAGAAAGAGGAAGGGTTTCGTAGCAGTTTATATATTACAATTCCACCAAATATCAAAGCGTAAAGCATTTAGCACATTTAGCATGAAACATGTAGGAAAATAGATAAGCCAAATATAACAGTTATTTCTAAGCTCGAATCTTGAACCCTGAAACCGAAATTCTGGTTTCATTCCCAGCAGAGTCGCCAGAGCTGTCACACCTCCTTTTTTACACACAGTTTCCAATTTAAGTGACATTATTCGAAATGGGATTATCTAGAGATCAGAGTCGCCACTTGGGATAGGTTTGGTTTTTGGTTGTCCCAAGTCACCGATTTTTTTTGAATCCCAAATCAAGGAAAATTTGACTTCCCGGATGGAGTCTGCGAACCAGAAATTCTGAATAAGGAAATTCTGTTAACCCGAGGAAGGTGTTAGGCACCCGGATTCCGTGGTTCTAGCACGGTCGCTTAAACTATTATAATTGGCTAAAAATTCTGATTTTAATACATGTCAACTTCAGTGCAATTTTAAAAAAATTACCGCTTTTAAATTAATTTTTAGGAATTAGACATCGTTTAAAATATGTTTTTCGGATCACGTCACATGAAATGCACCCGGATCCTCGACACATTTATTCAACGTCTTTGGGATTTGGATTTGGGTCACATGAACATGCACCACCGAATTTAGGAAGGTAAGATTATTAAAGAACGCGCCTAAAGTGACTAACGTGTTATTAACTTTGCGGGAGGCCATAAAAATCGCTAAATGGCACGCGCCGAGTTCTAAAAGTTTTAATTGAGTAATTAAAGAGGGCCACGCAATTTGTATGAATTTTGTTTAGCGCGGCGCACCTCGTTTATTTTTAACCATCCAAAGGGACTATTATTTTCTATTATAGATTGTCTCTAAAGGCCTAACTAATTAACATTATTAATAAACACTATTTAAGGGCGTTTAAATTCGGGCCTCAAGTTCAAGTCCGAACTTAAACAAGGGAATCTCCATTATTGAGAAACCTTAATTCAAGTTCGCCACTTAGCTTGGAAAGGCCCAAAGCCTTTATATTTTAAATTCCATCACAATTCCAACAATGTAATAAGAGTTTTAGTTTGTTGGGCCTCGAAGCCGGCCCATGTAGAAAGTTAACAGTCTGATTTTATTTTTAAAAACTGTTTTGTAAAGTTGTCTAAAGCCTGGCCTTGGGGCAGGCCCAGATAAACATCCAGCAGGACCTGAGGCTCAAAATCGAGTCCCATGGGCTCAACTGGGTAAAATTAATCTCAAGGCTTGAAAGTGTTTGGCATGTATTATGCAGCTTAGGCCGCATTAGGCCAGTGGTTATGAGCCCAGTGATCCAGGCGTAAGGACTAATATCAGACATTAGAGACTTGTTTCAATTCAAGGAACTTTACTGCTAAACTAAAATCATAAATAAAAATAGGCCATACGACAGGAATAGGCATGTTTCAATTCAATCCAGACTTTTATGCTCTATCACCATGTAGATATACTGAATGCATCAACATGTTTGCATTACTGGAATATATATGTTCCACTATATTAACAATAATCCATAGCTTTATTCTAATTCCATATTTTAGAAGTGATTCTATACTGAGACGGAGAGGGAAGCTATTTGAATGCTTTTCAATTGCAAAAATCATATTGAAAATCGAAAACTAGACATTTCTATATAAGAGTCCAACATTATACAGTCCATGTACTGTTTATTCCAAGGCTAGAATACAATCATTTAAACAAATTGAAGGACAGGCAACATCAAGCCAATACATTATCACATGCTAAAACAAACTATGTCTTAGCCAAATACTATCTTACTACTAGACTTATTACTCTTCAGGAATTCTAAATAGGTTTTAATCATGAAAAAGTGTGAAAGGAAAGTAGCTCCTCTTTTCATAAAAATCTCAAACAAATATATCTTGTATGCTGTGGTAGCAGTTCCTAAAGGATCAAGGAATACCTGGAGAAATGAATAAGTGAGAACAGAGTGAGGATAACCAGGAGCAGAATCAGCAGTTAAAACATCAGCAGCAACAAGCAGCAGCAATAGGATCAATTTTAAAAACCAAAATAGTATCACAGCAGCAGCCCAGGAATGAATTACGGACAAGGAACGCACAACAAACAATCAAATAGACTTTGATTGAGCCAAAGCCAGACTCGAAATAACCCACGGAAACTTCTGTAAACTCAGCAACCCAAAACTCACACAATGTAATTTCAGGTCATTATCGTCCTTATCTAAGCTTGAAATTGAATGAACAGTCTGGTAATTTAGTAAATTTATTCTTAAAGAAACTTTCAATTGGAATAGTTTAGTTTTTTTGGTAGTTTTTGTGTTAATTTTTTTTTTTTGGTTTTCAAAAGATCTAAGATCTAGAATGAGCTCTCACACTCTCAAATTTCAAACTTTTGTTTTTGAATTTGAATTTCAGATTTTTAGCCCTCAAAACTTGTGTGGATTTTTCAGATTTTAAAACTTGTGAAACAAGGCAATAGGCATGCCTATTTATATACAAAACTTAGTGCAGCCTTCAGATTTCTGTTTTCCCCCTAAGTCCCTCATTTATTTTTCAGTTTTTAGCTAGTTAGTCCCTTATTTATTGGCTTGTTGCCCAAGCTAGATCACTAAATTTCCTGAAATTCAAATTGGAACCCCTTCTAGAAGGCTCTAGGGGGTTCTATTTTTAGTTACTGCACTACTCTTTCATTGAACTACCTAAATTACCCTTGAATTAATCCTAAATTACTAAACTATCCAGCCTTGTTAACTTTCGTCAAAACTGACCATGGTTAAACAAAAACAAATGCTGGATTATTCAGCTATATCCGAACATTTCCTAAAATTGAATTAATCAATCTAACTAAAATTTAACCCTAATTAATACTAATGTCCTAAGGCTAAGATTAAGAAGTAGTGAACTATCAGCAAACAAATAAAGATTGAAAATAACAGTAAAAATTATGAATCATACAATCGAAATCAAACACCAAATTAAAAGAATAGAATCATGCTTTCAACCATCAAAAAAAATTCAGACTTAAACCAGAAATACGAAATAAAAAAAAAACGACAAGATCAACAGAACAAAAAAAAATCAAACCAAAATAAAATAAAAAATAGAATCAATAGAACAAAAATCAATTAAAACCCTAAGGATCCTAAATCAGTCAACAAGAAGAATGATTGATCAATGAGGAAATATCACATTCAAACAAACGAAATTATTATGCAAAGAAGGAAGAAATAAACAAGAGCTTAAATGAAATAAAAAATCAACTAAGAACGAAAAACTTACTGATTTTGGCCTTCTAATCGATTGACCTTGAATCGAGTCCCCAAATAATGTTATATGCTTGTTCTTGCCAAGAACAAGCACATAACCTTATTTTGGAACTCAATTCGACACTGGTAAGCCCTTGGGAATTCGACCAGTCTTGAACAAACCCTAGATCTAAAATTCGCGTAATTGTAGTTGGACTTTAGGGAAATTGGTTTGGGATTTGGGAAGAAGAAGGTGAGGAGGCTCTGGGGTGTAATTTTGGGAAGGTTTGGGAGGTGGCGGCGCCGTGCACGGTGGAGGCGGCACTAGGGTTTGGATTATTCGAGATGTTTGAGGGGGATTTGAAAGAAAGTGAGGCTAGATTCGGAATGAGGAGGAAGAGGAGGTGCTATGGTGTATTTTTGGGGTCGTCTGGAGAATCGCCGCCGGCGGCGGAAGGCGGTGGCGTTACGCCGGCGTGTATTGGGGTGTTCTGAGAGATGGTGAGTGAGGGGGGTAGCGTAATTCAGACAGTTATATATTAAACAAGCTCGTTAGTTTCGGATCGTTGAATTGATGAGATCCAACGGTCATGATTGAAAGCAGGTGAAACGGGGTCGTTTTGTTATTAAAGGGGCTGGACCGGGTGGTAATATTGGGCTTGGACTGGGTGAGATTGGGTATTTCAATTGGGCTGGCACAATTAATTTGAATACTAGCCCAAAATTGGTTGGCATGTTTCTCTCTTCTTTTTATTTCTTTTCAATTAATTCCTTTCTTCTTTCTTTCTTTTTTTAATTTTTGTTTAGTACAAAATTAAGAATAAAGACCTGATTTAATTCTACAACTAAACTAATTAATTTCAAAAATTAACTAAACCCTAAAAAAAAATCAAAAATTAAAAGTAAAATGCAAAGAGGACTTTTTTTTTTGATGAAGTAATAAGATTCATTAATGGCATCAAGAAGATGCAAGATGATAAGTACAAAGATGAGTGTTAGCTCCAGAATAGGCTTAACTATAGTTCCAGGGAGCTAACAAAATCCAAAAAAAGCTCAGGGGAATTTACAGGGGAGAGTTTGCACCAACTAAAGAGTTGTAAAAAACATTTAGCCTTGAGTGCATGATTTGAAGTTGATAAACCATCAAAACATCTACGATTTCTTTCTGCCCATACTACCCAAAAAATGCATGCTGGTATCATGTTCCAGATCTTCTTGATGGATTTGCCAGCTTTCAATGAGCTCCAAACTTCAACCGCTTCTTTGGTACTTTGTGGCATGACCCAACTTAGCCCAAAAATAGAGTAGAACATACACCAAATGTCGTAGACAACTGAACAGTGCAAAAGAAGGTGGTTGGTGGTTTCTGCAGCTTGCCTACACATATAGCATCTGTTTGGAATCTGAAAGCTTCTTTTGAGGAGATTGTCCTGAGTTAAACATGCTTCCCGAATTGCTATCCAAGTGAAGCATATGACTTTCGTTGGAAGTTTAGTTCTCCAGATCAATTTCCATGGCCAATTATTGATCAAATCATTTTGAGCATGGAGGTGAGTATAACCTGCCTTCACTGAATAAATTCCTTCCTTTGAGTTCCCCCATTTTAATCTATCCGCTGACTGTGTATCCAACATGCACTCCTCCAATCTTGCAAGTAGAGTCAGTAGTTCTTCAAGTTCCCAGTCGTTGACATTCCTTCTGAATAAAGTGTTCCAGCTGCTATTTTCTCTGTATTTTGAGATGGTGGAGTCTTTGTCCCTGCTTAGTCTGAAAAGATTGGGATATTCATTCATTAACACAGAGTTACCAAGCCATTTATCCTTCCAAAATTTGATATTGTTGTCGTTACCCACTCTGAAAGAGGTATTTTCAGAGAATTTATTCCAGAGGTTGCTAATGTTTTTCCAAGGACCAACACCATGAGAGGCTCTAGATACTTTAGTGCACCCGTGATTAAGAGTACCATGCTTGGCGCCCTAACTATCTTTTTCCATAGATCTTGATTGTCTTGGCTATACCTCCATAACCATTTCATTAACAAGCTTTTGTTGTGAGCAGCAAGGTCTCTAATTCGTAAACCTCCTTGAGATTTAGGTTTTGTCACTTTGGCCCATTTGACAAGGTGAAACTTTGGTGTAGTGCTGTTACCCTCCCAAAGGAAATCTCTTCTCAACTTATCAAGTTATTTTAGCACTTTACAGGGAATAGGAAAGAGAGACATGTAGTAGGTGGGGATGCTATCTAGGACACTATTTATAAGGGTCAGCCTACCCCCCATGGAAAGATACTGCCTCTGCCAGGAAGCGAGCCTTTTTTCGAACTTCTCAATGACCCCATTCCAAGCTTCAGTTGATTTGAATTTTGCACCTAGGGGCAACCCCAGGTAAGTGGCAGGTAGTGAGCCAATGTTGCAACCTAGTATATCTGCCAACTCCCTTAGGTTAGGAACTGCATTAACTGGGTAAAGTACACTTTTTAGCATGTTGATATGGAGACCAGACAGTGCCTCAAAAATTAAGAGGGTGAGATTTAAGTATTGCACTTGGGATGACTCTGCGCCACAAAAAATTAACGTATCATCTGCATAATGCAGATGTGAGATAGAAACTGAATTTTCAAAAACCCTGCCTACATCAAAACCCTTCAGCCATTGTAATTGATTTGCCTTGTCAATCATTTTGCTAAATCCTTCCATGGCAAGGATGAAGAGGAACGGCGAGAGAGGGTCGCCCTGCCTGATGCCCTTTTGAGGAGAGAAAAACCCCACTGGGGATCTGTTAACTAGAACTGAGAATTTAACTGTGGAGATACTATATTTGATCCACCTTATCCACCTATCCCCGAATCCCATCTTTCTTAACATAGATATTAGGTATGACCAACTCAATTGGACAAAAGCTTTTTCAATGTCCAACTTGCATAGAGTGCCAGCTTCCCCACTCTTAAGTTTCCAGTCTAGGACTTCATTGGCAATGAGGGATGCATCAGTAATTTGCCTGTTTTGAATGAAAGCATTTTGGTGGTTGGAGACCAACTTGCCAATCACTTTCTGGAGTCTCTTATTTCTCGTAATGTTAATTAACTAGTAAACCTAAAAAATATAAAATGGGATCCTAAATGCAAATGTGCTATTTTTGTATTTTTATGAATTATATCAATTAAAATGCACACAAAATGCAAACAAACACAAATCATGCAATTATATCCTAAAAATCAAATAATTAAAGGAAAAATCATAATTTTATGAATTCTATAGGAATAATTCAAGCGAGGCGAAAATCACGTGCTCACAATGTTCATGGTGTTGGAAGGTAAATAATGGAGTACGTCAATTGGTTGCCTCTACTGCATAAAGAAGAGGATGCTTCCAAAGAAGTTGTACTGTTAGTAATATTAACTATATAAAAATGTGAACGTTTGTAAACTAAGAGGTTTACTACTAATTTTAACTTCTTTCTAATTAATTTGTTGTGCATTTATAAAAATACAGGCTGCAACATCAATCATTTCTTATCCCATTCAAGAGGCTACCAATAGACAAATACATAATTGAATTGGAGAGAAAGCTACAGAAGGAAGTGCATAAAGAGTGGCAGATGAATTGAAGAAGTGAAGAATTCCATTGTTGTTTCAAAATTAGTCAGATTTTGCTTGAATATTGAAAATAAAATTATCATGACATTGTTTTATTGTAAAGACTACAGATTTTATACTTGAAATTAGTATATAGAGAGCTTATGTTTTCATTACATATGATTCGAGTTTATGTTTTTTACGGGATGCGTTAAAAATAGTCTAAAGAATTTAACAATATTTGCGCAAATGTCGATAATAATTAAAAAAAATTGACACTTTCAAATATGACGCAAACAATAAGCTGAAAACTACAATGCTGACATTTGATAAATAGTCTCAAACAAATGTCACTATTTATTTGCCGACTTTACTCTCTGTGTTGGAAATTTCAAAGTGACATTTTCACAAATGTTAGTGAATAACTAATGTTGTGAATAAATGTCGTAAATCTTTTACCGACATTTAATTAAATGTCGTAAATCTTTTACCAACATTTACTTAAATGTCGGAAAATTACCGACATTGAAATTGAAATTTCCGACGTTTACGCTAAATGTAAAATAAATGACCGTTAATGATTTTGTGACATTTATCCAACTTAATGCGACATTTATAAAATGTCGTTGTATGTCTACTTTCTTGTAATGTATGGGTTCGCGGTGTTTTTCTTCGGATACGGTGAGATAAGAGTTTTAGTTTTACGATTGGATAAGCCAAGTCTTTCTTATTCTAGATTTTCCTTAATTTTCTTGGATTCTTCGAGAACTTTAGGTTTATGGGCATTTAAGTGATTTGTTATTTTATTTTGCACATGCGTGCTCTCTTTTGAATCTTTGATCTCAAATTCCTTAACAGCCAACATTGCGGTTTTACTTCCACTTTGTTCATGACAATTGCTATAAGATTTTAACTTTTTTGGTACTTCTACTTATCCTTTTAGCTGTTTTTGTACATGCGTATGCTCATTTGTTATATTGTTCGGTGAATTTTTTTTGGGTGCTTATATGGTGCAACCACGGGGTCTTAATTTCGTAGAATACTAAAAAAATTGGATTTTAATATTGATATTGTGAAAAAAGCAGATAGCTTTGGTATATTCTGTATTTGACTGATGGTCTTATGAAAATGATCTGGCATTCTCTTTTTAATACCTGTCAAATGAGAATGATCTGGCATCTCTTTTAGTACCTGTCAAATGAGAAAGATCACCTTGATATAAGCATTAGCTATTCTAAGCTTTTTGATTGCTGCAGATTACACCTTCAGATCTCTCTCTTTGGAGCCTTTCCTTAAAACTGTAAAATAATACTTGCTTGATGAATTATATGATAATTTGATAAAAGAAAAAGAAAAAAGGTTTAAAAGGGTGTGAAGTCTGTGGAACTATTAAGAGTCACAGAACAACTGTCCACGAAGTTGAGCTTAAAATTTTTCTGCCCGCTTAAACATTAAAAACTTTTTGGACAATGATACTTGCTTTCTGTAAAGTTTGCCTTCAGCACTAGGTTCCTGTGCTTATCATAATATTCGGGAATGCATTACTGCAGATGCAAAAATGATTTTTGAGAAAAGACCAGAGAATGCTGACAATGCAGTTGGAACATGAATATTGGAACTCCTCTGCCACCTGGAAAAGGGTATGAGAAATTGTTCTTGCAGGGAGTTCCTAAAAATAAAAATAAAAATAAAAAATTCGAAGCAAAGATTTGATAAATGCTACTAATGATCAGATAAACTTTGCAAATGTGAGGAATAAAGAAGATGATATGTTACTATTAGAATGTGAATATGATAAGGCAAGTTTTGAAAGAATCTTCATTTTACAAGATTAGATAGGATATCCATATTTCTTTCCTTCTGATCTGTTATTTGGAATTCAAAGCAATATGTTGGAGTTTCTATTTTTTTGTTGACTGGTTCAATGATTCAGCTCTATTGTTCTTGTTATTTGAAAACTCAACTGCTTTTAGGATTTGGAGTAGAAATTACATGAAATTTTGGTGCTTTCACTTTATTTACTTGATTTTTGTACTAATTGAAGAGGAACCTGAATACTATGTGGTTGGCCACTTCAAAATACGGCATTCTATCAAGTCCAAAAGAATCCAGCTACTGTTGTTGCAGTAAAATGTAAAGCTGTATTCCATCCCCAAAGGACAAGAACCTTACTTCGACTAATTTTTCCCATCAAGGAGATTGTGATTGCTTGCAAGGAAATAGTAGATGCCGGATTGTATATATGTATATGATAGGTATTTGATAAAACAAAAACATCAGGATAAACAAAGTTAAATTAATGGTATAGTAATATTTCTTAATCCATTTAATTCATGAGCATTTTACTATATTTGATTGTCTCTCTGTTGCTGTTGCTAATGTCAGTAGGTGACTACCCCATTCAACATTGTATTTTTTTATGAGTGCAGGTGCCAAGTTTGAATGGGATTGAAGTGGGGTGGTAAACTCCACTGATTTCTCATGGCTTGATCTTGACTTAAGTTCATCGATGGAGCAAGAGGGTGAAGGATGTTGTTCATCCACACATGGTTGAGGTAATTGTTCATTGCATCCTAGCTAACTGATTTTTTCCATGGATTTTAGGAGGTGCAACAGAAGTGGTATTACTATTAACAAGAGATCTTCCTGTTGAATTCTCATTTAATGAAAGAGAAGGAGTGTTACCTGGAGGGGGGTGATTGGGTCATGAAACTTACCAGATATGGAGTGTATCACCTTTGTATTGTGATTGGTTTTTTTCTTCTTGGGGAATACAACCATTTGCCAGTTGCTTTCCTTGGGCAGGAGAGAGACATCTTCCATTCTGTCTTGAAATCCAACCAAGTCTTTGGATTGGTTGATTGGTTGCTGGCTTGAACTTCCAGTGAACTGGTAGGGGTGGTCCTTGACATTGTGTATTGGCAATTGGCCATTGAATGCCCTAGTCTGCCACACTTTTTGCATAAAAAATTAATTCCCTCATAGTAGATTTCTTGCTTGTGCTGGCCAATGAAAACATAGGGGGTTAGTGGCACTTCAAGAGGAATTTCAATGCAAAGCCTAGCATATCTTCCTATAAGGGTAGAGGAAGTACATGCATCAATCTTTAATACTCTACCAATTTTGTCACCAACTTTCTTTAAAATGAGACCATCATAGAATTCAGTTGGTAATTGTGGTAGTCGAATCCAAATGGCTGCTAGGGTTATTTTAGCCTCCGAAGCGATGAAGTTTCACTATCTGCTTTCTTTGCTTTTTTTCCCGAACCTGTAGTATTAAAAAGTGCTTTATATTTTTACCTTGCAAAGTGAAGAATATACAATTGAGATAATCATGGGATCATGAAATCGTGGAATTAAAGCGTGTGTTAAAGTAGTATTTACAATTATATTTAAATCTTAAAAAACTAAACGGTATATTTAATTTTTCCCATGTTAATATTGACCAATAAAATAAGCCCAAGTATAGTGTACATTGCAGATAACTTTTTGTACAATTTATTAATAATGTGTTCGTACACCTTAGTGGCTTATATATAGTAAGTAAATATTCAGACCTACATTCAGAAGTTTTACAAATTCAAATTTGTAAGGTAAAATATGAAACTTCTATGTGATGTCATAACCAGATAACCATGATTTACAGTATATGACTTATTGTTTACTTCATTAAATAACATTTTTCTTGCAATTGCAACATCATATGTAGTTTTTGTGCTAGTACCTTACTCTTTCTCCCATTTTTAATTTACTTCTAATGAGCTTAAATATTAGTACCAGTTATTAAATTGAAAGTTGTTAAAGTGCCAATAAAATAATGAGCACGGAAGAAGAATAAGATAGAATCTAGCAAACCAGAGAAATTAAACTTGATCTCTATTGCCTTAATCTCCTAATATTGCACATCAAAAGAATAGTCTATATTTACAGCTAAGAATAGATCTATATTGTCAGCTAAGACAGTATCCATTCCACCACTCTTAAGGCCCAGTAGGATTGGATATATATACCCACTCCACCATCCCCAAAGCCACCAGCTAGCTAAGAGAGGTGAAAGAACACTTTCAAAGCAATTTTGTTGAACGCATGTGCTCTAACATTTTCCAATAGTTATCTTGTGCTAAATACATCGGTAATTAAATTTAGCCTTACTTTACAAGTATTAAGGTTTAAAGTGCTCCAAAAGTAAATCATACGTTAAGATCAACCTTTTGCTTATAAGATATATTAGAAGAGCAAAAAACATTTACTGTTTTGTTCAAATAAGAGCAATTGTTTT